TAATTGTTGATCTCTTATTTATTAATAATAGACCATTTATTGCTAATAGATCATTTCTCACCAACGGCTCAATTTCTTGCTTTATTGTTGTTGTTGATGGCTCAACTGCCATTGAAATATCTGTTATCATAGATGGTAGGTAATCAAGATCAAAAAATATATTTCTATATAATGGAAATATGCCAATAAATTTAAATTCACTTTGAGCTATTTCATAGTATGTAACTTTCAAAAACTCACTGGATACAAGACCAATAATTCTGAAATTTTGACTCCATCCCTATTCATTTTGCTGATGCTTCACTAAATCCTGCCTTAAAGAGTTTCAAGAAAGAGGTAGTAAGTGTGAGAATACTAGTGGTAATATGTAATACTAATTATATGAATGTCATGGTTTCTAGAATATTTTAATAACCCATAACTCTTTATGTGATAGATGCCGATCCAAAATCAATAATTCATCATTAAAAGTATTTCGAAAACGTTCTAATTTAGAACGCAACTTTTTTTAAGAATTTAAACTTCTATATATACATAAAAAAAAAGTTTATTCTTATTTTTAGTGTGGTAGTACATAAGTTGACGTATAAAGGGAAGGGTCGCATGGTCCTCCCTCCTCTGCATTTGGCCTTTGACCTTAACCAAAAAAATGAATTTTTTAATTTCTTTTTTTGTATGCTAAAGTTACCAACAAAAAAATTATGCAGCTATGAAACCTCATGTCGCCTCGTATAACCGAAGTGGAAACCAAGAATTATAAAAATACCACCAGTCACTCATGTAGGTGGCACTAAAAATTACCACAAAACAATGTTACAAACAGATAAAAACAATGTAATATTGATATATAACTTAAATTAATTTAAAAAGTTAAAACATATAAAATAACCAGCACAAGCAGATAAACATGGCACTAAAAATTACAATAATATTGCAAACAAAATGAGTAGCCACACGCAATATTAAAAAATAAGTTCTATATAATGTAATAATAATTATTTGTTTTGAAAAACAATAAATTATTATTTAATTTTTGAAAATAATCTAATGGTATATTGTAACATAAATGATAAAATAAGTTTTAATTTACAAATTGGATAAGTTGTCATGAGCTACCATACAAATATGTGTCCGGTACCACCTGTTTATTCCTCATTTTAAATTACTATTTTTATAACCATAAAAATCATAAAAATATAAAACAAAGTTATTTTTTTACAAATATAGCAAATAAATTTTTTATCATAAATAAATAAAAAGATAAATGTATACAAAAAAATTATAAATTCGATTATAAGTAAACAAATTTGATGATACACTGTTATTCTAATGGTAGAAAACATTATCTTGCTCTTCCGTCCAATCACTTTAAAATATTGGGGCAGAGTTTTTGCATTTTTCCTAAAACCATTAAAATAACGTTTTTATGGCACTCAAAACTAAATAACTGCTTTATTATTAGCTGTACACCAAGTGTCTGAGACTACACGCCGTCCGGGGCTACATTACTTTCCCCTATTATTTTTTATCGATTTTTTTTTTAAATCTGTTCATAGATAAACTTTGAAAAAGAAAGTTTTTTAAAATTGACATTGTTTAGTCTCATCACTCCCCTCCTCCCCATTGTCAATTATAGTCAAACTTTTCAGGACCCCATCCCTCTATTTAATGACATCATTTATGGCTGGCCCCCTGCCATAAAAAAAACCTAATACCTAGTACTTTACTAATAATTAATATTATTTTTAACACTTCACTGTGTAAAGAACTTTTGTTTAACAACATCACACGTTAACATGTTATTTAGAACTGTTTAGGAGAACTTCCAAATGATATAACTTTGTATCGCGTTCGCAATTTCATTTATGGGGGTACAATATTCTAGGCCGATATGATATCCTATTAGCTATCTCAAATAGGTTCAGTGTTGTTTAAGCAAAAAACTTTAGAGCGAAACTAACTTATATCAAATTATTTATCGTAACGTTTTAATAGCGAAGATAAAAACCAGGCTTCATGATTTAAGAAAAAGTTTTCGCTTTTTAACTTTACGCTCTAACATCTCACACACAGTGTCGCAAAAAGCAAATAATTTTGAACTTTCTATCCCGAGCCCAAAAAATCTTCACCAGAGTAACAAACTCAGAACTTTTGAGTCCATTAAAAGTACTTACAAAGTTTATAAAGCAAGACAAAACGGGTGCAAGAGATTTTTAAAATGTTGTTAATAAATCCATTATCAAGTTACCATATCATACTCTGATTGTAGATTTTTTCCTCCCATCAAACCGGAACCGGAGGAAGCGGTTTTCTTTTTTTTTTTTTTGATTCAGTCTTGCAGTTCCATGAGGTGACGGAGTCTTGTTTGCAAATACCAAAGTAGCTACGCTTTCATATGTAAAATCATCTTTTGTGGCAGCATTCAACTAATCCTGTCTAAGTGTTTAGTTCAACTATGAGGAAGACCACTACCAATGATGGATGTTGAACATCGTTTCTAAACAGGTGATTGTTCTTTAGAGTGAACCATTTGGACAGTTCCAGTGAACAAATTTCAGTTGACGATTGAGGATCATTAAATCATCTTTTTGTTGGCTTTTCACAAGCAGAGAAAAAATACAATTTTCAACATTCGTCATAAATTTTTGCTTTATTTGGCACTTTCAGAGAACAAAGTAAGCTGGGTTAACACTTAAAGGTTAAAACTGTACTGTTACTATTTCCCAGAAAACTTTGTGTGTTTAATTTTATCTAAAACCAAATTCAAAACAACACTTTACATTTCAATAAAATTTTAAAAACAAGTTTTTAACTCCAAAATAGTAAAGATTTAATTTGAAAGTATTGACTTTCATTAAATAGTAAAAATCAAATTTTCTCTCACAGACGTAATAGTTTGATTTTGGAATATATACTAATGTGACCGACTATTTGTGTACTACCAAAAGGTTTTTCTTGGAACGGAAAGTTTAAATTAATTTGCATTTTTTTTGTGCACCATTTGTTTGATACGTCTCTTAACGAATTATTACTGTTGAGAAAATTTTTTTCAATTGATTATTGATTAACTTATTTCTTATTTTCATAAATTCGGGTTTAATTAATGAAAAGAAAAAAAAAACTTTGTGTAACATTTTCTTTAAGTTTTATTACTAACGTAAAGTTAGTGTGTCGCGTAAAATCTTTTTGCATGTCGCCCAATGATACTTACGTGATAGGTTGGCATTTCCTGGATTACAACGCTGGCTTTAGAATCAAGAAATCGGAGGTTTGATGTTTGCTCTGGCCATATTTGTAACGTTTATAAAAAAAGAGGCTTGAATTTCATCGTTGAACGCGGCGCTCTAACAAAACCGTTGGGTCTTCTTGGAGCACCTCGATTATCAAAAAAATAAATTAAAAAAAGAGTTTTTAATTTTATCCAATAATTTATTAAAAAATAAAGTATATAATAGAAAAAACTTCTTTTTTTGTTTTTGTTTTGTTAGTTTCTCATTTATTCATTAAAGCGATTAATTTGTGCTAACTCAACGTTATGTTTTTACGAAGGAGTACACAGCAAAAATCTTAATTCGTATAGGTTCGGCACTGTTTTCTCCAACGTAAAAGCCGGACATCTGGCAACCCTAAACATAACACACACACACACACACACACACAAATGTTTTTGTGTTATGTTTGCGCTTACGTGTTTCATTTTACCACTACCGTTTCAATTTAATCTATTAAACACACATATTGAAGTCAATTTAGCGCATTAATGCCAACACCAGATGTTTTTTTTTTGTGCATTATTTTGTTGACTACAATATTAAACATTTCCTTTAGTTTTCAACTATATTTTTGTAAAGAACCTCTTTCAGGATAAACCATTTATCATAATCGGTATTTTATATTTTATTTTTATCGGTAATAAAAATAAAAATAAAATGAGTAGAAGAAAAAAAGTTAAGGCGGTAAAAAAGTACGCGCCAAAAACTGAACAAAACCTTTTTATTTCATAATTTATTTCATCAAGCAGTGTTGTAACAAAAGATAAAAATAGCAATAAGTATTTATGAAAATAAATTTTTTTTTTAAATACATGTGTTTTAAACTTCAACAAAAAAGAAAAATAACATTAGTCATTGCGTTTGCATTTAACCGGCGTAAACTTAACTTTTAACCAAAAAATTTCATACCGAATGACTACCGTTAATAACTTTTTATATTTTACAAAAGTTATACAAAATGTTAATGTTTCTTTGATAATGAAAAAATTTGACAAAACAAATATTTGGTTTATGAGTTAAATATGTAAGGTTTTATTAAATTTTTAATATACTTGGTTTAAAAGAAAAGATATCCTTATTGCAAGCTTTTATTTAAAAAATTTGATATTACAAATTTTTTAATAAAAAAATGGATTTTACAAATTTTACTAAAGAAAAGTGAATATAAAATTGTAAATGAAAGCGTGCATTACAAACAAAAAAGTTACATCATCGTATTTAAACTTTGTCGGTACTAATAAAAATTTATTGCTAAAAATGAATTTTCAATTTCTCAAACGATAAATGTTAACTTTTATCTTTTTTTTTTTTTTTTAGTCGCTTTTCTTGTTTATATTATCGTAAATATAAAATTACAAACAATTTGTAAAAGTAAATGAAAATCTTTCAAATTTTCCTGAAAATGTTTTCTGAAGCAGTAAAATCACTTTGCAAAGCGTTACTTAACAAATGTAGCGTTCGTTTTGGGCATATTGTATGATCGGATCAGAGAACTCATTATGCTATACCTGCACTTATTCCGAAGCAGGAGAAGAAATATAACTACTTTCAAAATTAGGGGGTTTTTAAATTATTTGAAACCCAATATCATTGTTAAAATGTATGGATTATTTATTTTCTGAAAGCCAAAATTTTTGTAAATAATTGATTTGACTGAAATAATATTTAAAAAAAATAATTTTTGATATTTACTGTATAAAAAATAGTATATATACAATAAAATAGCCTCCTGTGCAATACTTTATAACGTACCACACGTGCGCAGACTATCGCTGGGTAATAAGTTTCCTTCGGCTCATTCCGAGGTTTATTTACTATCGTAGCTGATTAGCATGCGTTATTTTAGACGCTTTACTGCTAAACAAGTGAGTTTGTTTTCAAAATTATTTTTGGCGTTAATAATCAAAAATTTTAATTTCAAAACATCAAATAGTCTACATAAATTTTTTTCTTTAAAAAGTAGTTTAATTTTAATTGTCTTTAATTTTACGTAACAAATCTTTTGCAGAATAAATTTTATCTAGTTGGTTTCAAATGATATTTGATTAAATTTTATTGCAAATCTGACAGCTCGGAATCATTGATGCATATCATCAGCAGTTGACATTTTGAAAATATATTTTTTGTTGATTTTTATATAAAGTTTTCATTTTTTCATTTCAGTGTCGCTGAATCAATTTGCCGAACACAAACCATTATTTTCAGAACAAAAACCACAAATAAAACATTCTGTTGCAGAAATAACTTCGCCCTTTAACGAAGATAATTCAAGTCAAATCGACAAGGATGTCAAAAATGTTTTTAAAGATGAACTGTTAGAAAATGATTTGTCTTGCAATAAAAAGGTTGAACCCGAAAAAATTGCATCTTATACAGAGATGATTGCAAAAGCAATATTTTCCGGCAAAGGAAATATGTCAACTCTTCAAGATATTTATGAATTTTTAATTGAAAACTTTCCGATTCTAAAGAGTCGAGGCAAATCTTGGAAAAACAGTGTTCGTCACACACTTTCTCTAAACGAATGGTTTGTTAAGATTCCACGCACCGATAATGGTAAATCATGCTACTGGTCAATTCATCCTATTTATTTAAATCGATTTCGTAAAGGGGACTTTCAGAAACAACGAAAATCTGGTATTACTCGACTTCACCATTCATCTAAACGAACACATGTGTTTCCTTCTTACTTTTACACAGAAAGTACTCCTTCTGATTACCCGCACATGGTGCCAACACTTCCGTCTCCATATAGAGAACATTGTCCATACGTAAGCAATCCTACACTACCTAATTTATCATTACAATACTACCCTTCTGCGGCTATACCAAATCGATCACACACTGATTCTGATTCGCAGTCATATATAAAAACTGACAAAACTGACATAAAACCGTACAGTTTAAAATCACCAAGCAGCTATTTTTTTTCTCCTTACCAAAAGTATCCTCAAGATCAACTTAGCCCATGTGGTGCGCAAAAAATGTACATGGAATCTTTACGCCAATCTCCGATGATGCATTTCCCACAGACCTTTTCGCCTTCTTACGGAAATACGTATTCAGGAGACAATAATGTAAAAAGCTCAATAGAAACGCGAAATATGTACTTTCCTACTGATTATCGTACGTGTCACGTAACCGACTTCCCTTATGCACCATATACACCTTATTAAATTTTGATTTAAAATTGTCATATAAATTTAAGATTGTTGTTTTCTTAATAGTTTTTAAACTTATTCAACTAATTTTTATTCGTTTATTCAATTATTTTTATTCGTTTATTCAACTAATTTTTGTTCGTTAAAAAAGCTAATAATCTAATTACATATATACACAAACCCGCGCGAGCACACACACACGCAAACACTTATTTAAACTTTTTTAGGTTCTTTTACACAAGTAGCTTATTAAAACGTCCGCAAAAATATTTCGAGTCATTGTAGATGAAATGCGCGCGTTTCCTAAACAAATAGCAAAACGTGCTGAAGTTACGTTTAGAGTTTCTGGTTGGCTTATCCAGAAAATGAGTTTTAGTCGCACAATTAGAACACAAGTCAAAACTATATACATCCCGATAATTATTTTTACATAGAATTAAATAGTTCTTTTAATTTTATTGAAAAGTGTGTTGAATTTTTTTGAATTATAAAGTTATTGCAAATAACGAGCAATAGAATAATCGTTAAACAGTCTTGTTTTATTTAAATACGACGTTCAACGTGATCCACTGACCCATCAACTTTTCTTTAACCATATTTTAGTGCCAAGTTATGTTTTTTTTATTATTACGTTTATAAAATATTTATCATTAAACAATAGTGCATACTGCAATATATACCTAGAAATACCAGCTAGCACAAATGGGCGTTTGAAACTTGACTTTTTTTAAATTAAATAAGAAAAGTTTTTTACTTTTGACGTCAAGATTACAATTTGTATAAGTATTTTACGTTGAATATGAAATTCTTTTGACTTAAATATCATGGTCATCGGATCTAGGGGTGGAATGCAAGGAGCAAACTTGAGTCAAGCTCGACTTGAACTTTACATTGCAACCAATAGCGACAGAGCATGGGTTTTCCCCTCAAAAAATACTCTGCCGCTATTGGTTACAAAATAAAGTTCAAGTCGAACTTGACTCAAGTTTGCTTCTTGCATTCCACCCTAGGATTTTTTAGTGTTTTAAAAAAAATTTAGCGTACCAGCGTATCAAAAAGAATCAATTAAAGAAAAAAAAATTTTTTATATAAACGACTAGATAAATAATATTGATTGATTTGTTATTTTATAAAAAAGTTTTTTGTTTAAGAAGTTATGCCTATTGAGAATTTACAACTACCATGTTGTTGGAGAGTTGCACTTATAGTTTGGCATAAAAATCAATTCTGTTAATCTTTGGTAGTGCATTGGTTGTTTTGTCTAAAAACCTAAATTTATGACATTTATTTAATTGAGAATCGTCTTTGGTAAATCATCCTCAAAACACAATGAACAACTTATAATAGTAATATTTAATTAATTACAATATAAATCGAATCACAAAAGCAAAAAATACTGGTTGTCAAGGTTTAATTAATATATTATTAAATAAAAAACACAAAAATTAATTATTAAAAATTTTTATTTGAAAAGCATAAAAAATTGTCAAATATTTTTATAAAAAAAATTTGTACGTGCGCAATTATCATTTACGCTTAAAGATATATTTTTGCTAGTTTTTTTTTAAAAAAAACAACGTATTTACATACATTTGTCTATTGTTATCAAACAAAATTTAAAAAGAGGGTTTGATAGTAAGGAAACCAAATAAAAAAGCCGAGGCTTTTTATGTTCTGGCAAATAGAGAATTTATTTTTTTTTTTTTTTTATAGTTATAAAGTAAAAAAAAGGTAAAGTCTAATCGTTCTTATGATTTAAAATGCAACTTTGATGTAAATGTTTTAAAAAATTTCTTCTCCTTTGTATAAAAACAGTTAAACGAGGTTACAATAGCATACTACACCTGCTACTGTAGCAGGTTGTAAGTTATTTCTAAATATTAGATGTTAATTTTGAGAACATTGCGTGTTGAAGTTAGATATTTTTTTACATAATTTTATATGCAAACTATTTTTTATTATTCCAATAAAAATGCAAGAAAATAATATTAAATTGAGAAAACAGAAGTTCCATTGCGGAAAAAAAACATTGACAACGAAAAAATTGGTATTGTACCTGTTGTACCTGTAAGATTCTAATTACATTTACATTATGGCTAATAATTAAATACCGTACAATGAAGGTTTAATATTTAAAATATTGTTCTGTAAAAGTAATAACCACTGCATAGCTTTTTAAGTTATACTGGTTTTACTAAAAATGGCTAACTTGCTTATCACTAGTGTTATGATTTCTGATAAAACAGAAATTTGTTAAAATACGCGTAATATTTTTAACAATGCATCAAAAACAGGGTGTTTGAAACTAAATTAACCTTCGCTTATATTATTTTCATATGGACACAACCATCTAGTACAGCTTCATTATAAAGGCCATTCATCAAATTTTTTTCAAAAGACAGCTAAGCTTAATTGTTGCTCCTCGGGGACCGTAAAAATAACTTAAGAAGCTAAAATCAGCTAAAAAAATGTTCAGCAAATTTTAGAATATTGTTATTGTTGAACTTCTCTGTGTCATTTCTTTGTAAAAAAATTCTAAACAAAAAGAATCTGTAGCAATATGATCCAAAAGTGTATTATATTAATCTGAGAGAAATCTGATAAGTTCTAAACTATTTTATCTTTCTGGCACCTACAAAATCCTTTAGACATTTGAACTTTGTAGCTACCATTATGAACTACTCCTTTTTTTTATTCTTTATTGTGTTTTGTTGTTTCCTGCAGATTTTAAGGAGACCAGGTAAGTATGATAAAGTTAATAGAGCAGTCGTGGCGCAGTGGTAGCGCATTTCCCTCAGAAGCGTAAGATCAGTGGTTCAAATCCCATCTCTGGGCAAGTTTTGAGACATCGGTTGGAAAGGACGCGTGAACTTCCTACTAAGTACACTTCCGCATGAGCCCTTAAAAGTACACGACTGCTTGCTATATAAAAAAATAGTCACCAGACTCAAATGTGTCTAATAACAGACTAACAGACTTTACTCCTCAAAAAACCGACTATAACATAAAATTTCGTCTTCTAACTTTTTTTTTTTTAGGGTAGGTGGTGGTGGTGGTGGTGGGGTAGGGATGGTATAGCGTCCCCTCACCCGTAAAATTGTTTCTAAATATAGAATCAACCGCTGCTTGTAAAATTTTTTAGGCTTAAGACAATCCTTTTCACAATCTGACGTTGCTTTTCATTAACGTTAACCTAGGCAAAGTGCAGTAAAAAAACTTGTATACAGCTTTTCATGTTAGAAAAAAAAATTGGTTATAAACAAGATTTAATATATCAAAATTTAATATCACAAGGCTCAAATCGTGGGCACAACTATATGTAAACAATGAATGTGCTGCAATGTCTTGACAGACATGGTACTTGCACCATCATATAACTGGCTATAATAAAGTTTTGCGGGGATACCAAGGTCATTTTAAGAAGACTTAAAAAGATTAAAATAAGTTTTAGCATTTGCAATGGAAGTTCTAAGAAATGAATAAATATTTTAACAGAATCTCCAACGGCTAAAACATATCGCAAAAATCGCATATTAATAAAAAAAAAAAAAACTAGTTCAATCAAATATAGTGTAAACTGTTATAACTGAAAAATACTTTGCATTTTTCAGTTTCAAAAGTATTTTCACCTTAACTTTAAGTGTCAAAGACTGATTTTTTTTAATGTGCGGACTAAGATAGGAAGTGTTGTGGTCACCCTGATTAACATGCTGCTCTAACACGTTATAGTTTGCAAAACATTTTATGAGTTCAAAAAAGTTACCTTCATAACAAGATCTCCTACCACAAAGTTGTCTATGCCCACGGAAAGCCAATCCTTGTTTGGCTAAAAAAAAAACATCTATATTAGATAAGTTTAGTTTTGAAAATATAAAAACAGGGTTTGCTACTTTAATAAGTATCAACGAAGATGTGCTGCATTAGACATCTCTGTATGTAGACATTATATTTTTATGCTTTTCTTTTACCTACTTATTATTCATCCAGACAACTTTGAAAAATGTTAATTAAGGTCGTGTCAATTACTGTTTGCGGCATTGTATTCCACTGGAACACAACAAAGTTTAAAAAGAACTTCTCTGTCTGCATCCAATTGTTTACTTGTTGCTGTGCCAGTTGTTAATTATAACCTTTCATAATTTACTTTAATGATGATGGATAACTCAGAGGTATGTGAAAGTTAATTTTTTCAGTTTTGCGCATTTATTTAAAAATGTGAATTAAATCGCCTCTTTTTCTTCACTCTTCGAGTGTTATGAGGCTATTCTATGTTTAGAGGTTTTGTGTTTAATAAAATACATTTTTTTGGAAACACGGTTTTGAACATTCTCAAACAGGTCTATATCCCCTTGTTGGTATGGTGAACATATTTGACTTTTGGAGAGGAAGTAAAACTCAACAAAGTTTTCTTTGGTCTGCAATAGTTCAGACGGACACTTCGCAGCTACAAACAGTAATGTTGAATTACTAATTTCCTAATTTTTTGGAGTTTTTACTCACAAAAAAACAATATATATATATATATATATATATATATATATATATATATATATATATATATATATATATATATATATATATATATATATATATATATATATATATATATATATATATATATATATATATATATGTATATCGCTCTATTTGAAATATTTTTTTAATATTAAGCACTCTTTTACGATAATGGGATTTTGTTTTATTATGTTGCAAAATCAAAGTATAAGCCAAGTCTTTTTTCGGATCCTCAATTAATAAATTAATTAATTTTTCATTAATTAAGGTAAATTAATGAAAACAGTAAAAAATGCTTTATCAGGACTCCCAGAACAAAAAGTTAATATAGTGTGCAATGCTGACAAAGGCAATTAAAGTATTTTGCCCTGAGCATCACAGTCTATGGGTCATCACATATGCCTTTAAAAAAAATATTGTAATGATAAAAAATTATGCTGATAACATTTCAAAGCTTAAGCATTTTTTGTGTATTAATTTTGTTCTCCTTTGTTTACATTTAAAATAGGATAATTATACTTTACAAGGTTTTCACTTTCCATTTGAACGCACGCGTTTTCATC